TAACCCTGCACCGAGCACACCCTCTGGTTCTCTGGAGTAGAGCTGGTAACCCTGCACCGAGCACACCCTCTGGTACTCTGGAGTAGAGCTGGTAACCCTGCACCGAGCACACCCTCTGGTTCTCTGGAGTAGAGCTGGTAACCCTGCACCGAGCACACCCTCTGGTACTCTGGAGTAGAGCTGGTAACCCTGCACCGAGCACACCCTCTGGTTCTCTGGAGTAGAGCTGGTAACCCTGCACCGAGCACACCCTCTGGTTCTCTGGAGCAGAGCTGGTAACCCTGCACCGAGCACACCCTCTGGTTCTCTGGAGCAGAGCTGGTAACCCTGCATCCCGTCAGAGGCTTTTTAAAGAGCTGCTCATAGCTCTTAAGTGCAGGGCAGCTGGGGTCAGTCACCTGAGGAGAATGCCCCACGTATGATGTAAACACAGCAGGTGTCCACACCTGATCCTCTTTCCAGGCATGCATGTAAATACCTCTAACAGAAACAACTGCCCTTTGGACTGTGATATGCAGTCACTGTAGAAAAGATTATTCTGAATGGTAGTCTCCACGTAGAAAAAGAAAACCACAAGTAGGAGTCATTCCCCCCAGGGGTCTGTCATGGGTCCCCCTACCCCTTGCAAATGCAACACTCTATTATAGGGCATATCTTCCAGTGGCTTACAGTACTGATTTAATTTAATATGAACAATATGTACAAAGGTATGCCCCAATACAGCCTGGTACTACTTGAGTCGTACGTTCAAGGTTCAAGGCTTTTATTTGTCATACGTCTTGCCTTGATGATGCTGATAAATGGAGGTCTAAAAATGTCCTGCCCTTGAATGACTCCAAATGATAGATCCTTATCGTAACCCTTCCTGGTGTCATGGGTAGGATTATTAACAGTCTCTGGTTTAGTATGGGTTCCTAATCTCATCATTTCTGACTACGAGCCTGTAAACTCACAGCTGGTTTTTGGTGTTCAGGTGACTTAAAAGTTATATTTGAGTATTTTGTTAAACCTTAAAAATGTATGTTTTAATTGCTATCATCATAATAATTGTATTATTAATATTTTAGATTTTATACAAATAACAGGACATAGACTGAAGTTGTATTTATTTAGCCAGACACAATATGCTTTTGTTGATTTTGGTTGATCTGCACAAACATCAAGAAGCATGTTGGCGTTTTGATCATGAAAGTTATTAAATGAGCCGTAGCAAGGAGCTGGTGTCTATATTGCACTACAGTTGAATGTGTTAAAATATGAATGGACTGCATTTATTTAGTGCTTCTCCAGTCAGTGCGACCCCTCACAGCACTTTGACATCTACATCAGCATTCACTCATTCACACACATTCATGCAGAGGCAGAGGCAAGTTCACCTGCCCGAGGAAATGAACATTCACACACATTCATGCACCAGTCTTTGCCATGTTGACTGCAGCGATCAGCTGGGATTGAACCCCCAACCTTATGATTGGAAGACGACCACACTACCTCACAGTCACAGCTGCAGTGGTTAATGCAGTGTTTATTGGAATAGATTTTCACAGGTGGTTCGAAATGCATTGTTTTTTAAGTGAAATTCTTGTTTCAGTTTTACAATGTTTTAGAAGACAAATGACTTTATGCTCAATGCCATGCCACATGTTCACACATGATCTTTTGGACACATCCTGATGGCACCATATGCAAATGTTCTTGCGGGTCAAAAGGCGAAGTGGCCAGGACTGGAAGGCAGAGAAATGTCAGATATTTAAACATGTTTGACAGTTGAAACCATCATTGACCTTCGAGGGGGCTTTAACTGGCAGCAGGGATTGAGCAGTGCAAAAATAATCCTCCCCTGTCAAACGTCACTCAAACTCAGCATAACACAAGTCATCATCCAGCTTAGTTTCCCTCCAATTTTAGGATAGGCGGAGAGACTCGTGGAAATTGGTATGTTAACCGGCAGCCATGAAATCTGTGAATTTGTTGGACTACAATAGAGATCAAACAGAGCTGGATTTGGGTAATTAAGCATCCTTGAAGCCTGTTGATGTGAAAAGCTGTTCTTACACCTCCATTCTACAGGAGTAAGGACATGTTGGGGGACTGGTTGCTAGGTGGCAGGGGTGACAAGGGGTAAGGGGGGGAGGCAGAGCAGGCAAGCTAATCAGAACAAGTCTAGATCATAGAATATCATCCAAGGACTTCTTGTTGGACTTCGATTGACACTGACCTTCTATGAATACCCTTAATTATGTGGGATGATCTCTTGAATAAAGTCCTCAATCAAAGTCACAGACCCCCTACTAAGAGTAGTAGAAGTCTTGGGTGTTATATAAAATAAACATGAACTCTGTGACTGGAGATGGACAAATATGTAAATAGCTCCTTTAATTGACTATGTTTTGCTTTATTTACACAACAGATGAAAGGCACATCCACTTCTTTTAAGTGGATGTATCACCATGTGTGAGGGGTTATGAACGTGTCACGACACCGGGTCAAGCAGAGTGATGATCACAAAGGCAAAGTTGACATTTTGCTTTCAGTCTAATCTTGCTTTTATAGTGTCTGGCTTAATTTGGCATTAAAGAGCTGCTGTCCTGGATAGAAATAAACAACAAGTCAGATTAGAGCTAAGGTTTGGATACAAAAGATGTACGGGGGGGGGGGGGGGGAGTCAAACATGATGTGACACCACAGTCAGTCTCCAGCAGGCTGAATGTGTGCCGAGCATTGAGTTTCCCAACATGTTTTCAAAGCATTCAGATAAAGCACAGGGGAGGCAGGCATGGAGCCCATTACCCTGCTACAGTATATCCTTGGGAAAGAAAGACAAATATATATAGCTTACACGCTATATCTGTAAAATGTGTGATTTGCTTTTATCTGAAATCAAAGAGATGCTCACAAATCTATTAAACGCCACCTTTTGTTTTTTAATAATGCATCATCCTGGGACCAAAGCGAGCTTTTCAAGCAAAATGTAGACTTTTGTTCTGAACAAATATAATTAGATTTATTTTGAAGATACTCTGTGCAATGTTGAAGCTAATTTGTATTTAGTAAAGTACAGTCCTTGATGAGATATTCCCAGAGGCTGGGAGACCCAGTTTGTATTTTCAACCAGCATAACATCCTTGAATTAAAGAAAACTCAAGGGCCTTGCACTTTCCAGAGATTGTCGACGGCAGAACGTATTGAGATTAGAACGGATGTCTCTGTGGCATTGACTGCTCTTTTCTGAGAGATGACAGTACTTTGTAATTCTTCCCAGTCATGTACATTTCTATAAAAAGGTTTAACGTCGTTCAATGCATTTGAAGGCTTGAGGCCAGGCCTATGACAGTCTCATTCTGCTCTTGACATGATTAAATGTAATGCCTTTTAAACTTATTATAAATATGTTTAGTGGGTATTTTATTAAATGTGATTCATTGGTACACCTACGAAAGGGTTTGAAAATGGACGATGAAACAAAAATGATACCAGACAGAGGTAGACAGAAGCCAGGTTTCAATCCAAATGTATCTCAAATATTAACAATGAAATGTAGTTCTTATATATTTTTGTATTATATCATACAACTGCAGAAGAAGAGAGCGCACCAAAATGCCGTTATTAAAAGAGAGCAGTCAAACCTCCAGCAATGAAAAGCAATAGAGAAAACATATGTATTTTAATGTCCAAATGATGTGCATAAAAAAAGGTAGATAACATGTTGAGTCCGCTGTAGTTAACCCTCCTGAACATCTTAGTGAGCGCTTTGAAAACACTGTCTCCGGCTGACTTCATGTTTTAACAAGGAACCTCTAAAGGGGTCTTAAATACAGTGGGCACTTTGACATCCACATTGATAGAAGACCTGCAGACATTGATACAGCTGCATGTCTCAGGCAGTCAAATCATCATTTGCTCTTACAGAAGCAACTTTGGCTTCTTAGCTTGCTCACACCTTTGATAGATTGTGACATTTGGACATATTCCATATTTACAGAATTAAAGGAAAATTCAAACTAACTGCAAGTAATAGGGTTAGGTTTAAAATGCTAAGTGGGTACATGTATACAGTACACATACATATGAGCAGCTGTTTATGAGACAAATGAAATTGGACAGTGTAAACCCCCAACAGAGAAGTCTTTCAAAAATTCATAAAGGTTCAAAACGGTTTATTGTGCTCATCTCAAAGGACGATGGCAAGCAGCTCCTCATTGCATGGCCATAGTATGCTGCACATATGTATGCATACTGCACACACAAAGAGATCAGACCATACTGCACACTTGCAATACACCCTCCCCCACCTGCACACACACAAACACAGATCTCTATTTGATCTAATAGTCTATGACAAATGACGTGCCATACTTGGCCACACAGCTTGAAAACCTCATGTTTTCAGTCTCATACTGTGACCACCTCTGCTTTGAAACGTTATAAACAGGTGGACTGATGAAGTGATTTCAGTGGTGCTGATGTTGTACTAAAGTAAACCAAAGCTTTTTATTTACCTTCAAATTCTACATACTCAAACTATCAACTAAAGGACTTGAGTAGTGAATGAAGGACAGAGTTTTGCATAAAAGTGTCTGAAATGAGTTGTCTTCCCATGGTGTCTGGGCTCAGTCTTTCAGTTAGAGGAGCTGAAATATCCCAGAGAGGTTTGAAGACCGCTACGCTTTCTATTTAACGAGAGCAGGTTGAGGTGGTTCAAGTACCCAATCTGGACGGCTCACACACTCCTCCCTGTGGAGGCATTCCAGGGATATCCAATTGGAAAGAAGCCCCAGGGCTACACTAGAAAAAGCTGGAGGGATTAACTATCCAAACTGCCCTGTGAACGCCTCGAGGTTCTCCAGTAGGAGCTGAGAGCCAATGTCGCCATTTTTGAGAATGGAAAGTAGCCCAAAAATATAAAAAAAGGACGCCAGAATAAAAGAGGGAAGGTTGAATATGGTTGACTGTTGCCTAAAACTCTAAATATGTTTTATGTGGGATGAAAATGTTCTTACCTTTGGTGGAACAGCTGGTCCAGCAGTGTAGGGAGCCAGGCTTGGTGGAACATCTGTGATGTAGGTCTTTCTGGGGTCTGGTGGTTGGTATGCTTGGGCGGGGGCAGGCTCAGCTCTCCTGGAGCTTAAGCCACCTACTTGGTGAACTCCTGGATGGTGCTGATCTTGATACGCACCCTGGGCCATCTGGGAGAAGCCAGGCTGTGGTGGTCCATAGGCAAAGTCAGGGCCTTTGGGCTGGGCAGGCATGTACTGCACCTGTGCAGGGCTGCGAATGGGTTGCTGGCCGAAATGGTGCCCTATCGGGGCCTGATGCTGGGGGCCGGGCTGGGCGGACCTCATCTGGACATTGAAGGTGGGCTGGCTCGGAGTGGAGGCTGTGGCGTAGGAGGCTGGGACCGGCTGAGGAGCTGTTTGGATTTGAGGCTTGGTCACCGGGCTGGCAGAAGAAGGGAGGGTAGACGAGCCGCCCCCTGGTGCCTGAGGTTTGGGTGTAGATTTCTTGGTGGCAGTCAGAGGTGGCTGGGTTGGAATGACCATACGCTTGTAACCAGTCACTGGAGCGTTGGGGGTGGAGGGTGCAGACGGGACAGAGTTCTGAAACACAGCACAAGAGTTTGGCTCTGGTTAAACAAACAGCCGGAGGACTACATTTCATGAAAAACACATCGCACTGTCTGGGCTGGAAATAAACATCTACGTACAACTAATCTAAAGAAAAACCTTTAAAATGCTAATGTCAGCATGTCAATAGGCTCACAAGGTAATTCCAAAGATGTTACGATGTTCATCATCACATGTAATCTGTATAATATTGGCTAATAAGGAATAAATACAAAGCATTGCTGAGGCTGATGGGAATGTTATTAGTTGTACAGATATTTGGTGATAAAGTATGGAAGATCTTCAAATGTTGACCTGATGATGATCCTTGATGAAAGTCAACGATCACCAAAGTAATAACAATTCATTATTGTGTGTCTCGAAATACATGACAATCCTTCCAAACATCTTTGAGAAAATCTCACTGAAAAGCATGAATGTCCTGTACTTGTACTTTCATAGAATCCAATCGTGTGGTTAGTTTCAGCCCGACAGCTCAACAGTGTCATCCCTGGAGCCATGCTGCTAGCATTGATGAAAGCACAACAGGACCAACTGAAAACAGTTGTATTGAACCGCTATTTACTGATACAGTGGTTTACGCTCAAATGATTATTCACCCTGCCGCCCCAGAGCCAATTACAAGGCTACCTCGATAGCAGATGCTCTACACCAACCACAAGAGCTCATAATCTATGGCTAATAAAGCCAGAGAGGAAGGGATAAATTGTTTGGTAGAGGACGCCATGACAGCAGATTGGCAATGGCACTTGACACTTGTGCTGACTCCAGCTGCTTGGACGGGAAGGATGTTAAATCACTGAGATTTGTGGCGCTGGTGTTCCTGGGAAGAGATGGCTGTAAAGCAGCAACACAAGCTACTGCAGGGATTATCACCATCTGAACAACTGTGGCATTTTGATCCAATGTTCAATGGTTACATTTGATGCAAAGGCCAAACTAATACAGGATACAGCAGCGAGTGTCTCACAGAATAACAACGTTTCACTCTGATGTCAGAGGCTTCTACCCTAAGTGTCTCTCATGTAAGTAATAATTGTTTTTCACCACCACTACATATCGGTGTCAGACGTTCAGCCAGTCTAAAAAGGGTCTTTCATTAACCTTGGATGGCCTTATTAGGTTACTGCCTGAAGCTAAACAAGCTGAGTCAATTACTAAATTTACAGCACTTCGGGAACAAAAGTGAACACTTGTAGTCTTTAGACCTTTTGCAACTCAGTTTGATGGGGTGTCTTCTAAATTGGGGCAGAGCAACAATTTCAATTGATTTCCCTTAAAGGTTGATCAAAGCATGCTGCACAGCATTGCCCCATATAACGGTGTTTTTCTGCACTGCTGCACTACATTACGAGACACTAAGAGACACTTTACTTTTAATTGAATCAGTAGAAAAGTATGAAGCAAAATTCTGTGATCCTCATAATGTGTTGAGATAAAAAAAAATCTGAGTATTGGTTGGAGGTGCATGCATCAACTTTGTCTAAATCCCATCTAATCAAAGTCAGAGGGGAGCCCTAAGGGACCATTCAAAGCTCCAGAAAATATGCTCTGCTCTCACTCCAGTTCCTGTCTCAGTGATTAATGCTGATGTTAATTTGAAAAAGTGTGTCTGTCTGCATATGTATGGAAAATCTCCTCGATGCCCTTCAGGAAGTAAAATTACTTAATTTAAACGTTTCATGGGTTTTAAATACTCTAGATTATTAATTTATCTTTAAGGCCTTAAAACCTACAGTAGCATTTAGTTAGCAAAGCAGTGGAAATGCAAATTGGCCCCTGAAAATAATTACACTGTCATGGTACATTTTCCACAAATTACATAAAGAGAATAGATTCACGCCTTTCTGAGGGTGATGAAACTAATAAATAACTAAATGTCTATATTATGGCAGGAACCTGAAACTATAACGGTTTAACAAGATCCTTATCATAATCAAACAATAACAAGATTTTCACATTATTTTGACAGATTTTTTATACCAAATTCAAAATCTTTACTAAATATCTTTTATTTGGTTATAACACACAACATACTTTTCCCTCATCTTAATTTAAAAACTTGGTATGTTGTTAAAAAAAAGTGTTTATACTTATTTGTGTTGGTTTTACAACTAAGATCTATTTGGCACGCACAAATATATAAAATCATATCCCAATTTATTTCCACTGATAGTTGATGCAATGTCCGCTTGTGAACCCAGTTTGTGTCTGGAGGTCCGAGCTCAGATAGAGCATCATACAGCGGGGGGGTCTCTAACCCCCGCTCCACACACACACACACTTTTAGAAAAGTTTTCCCTAATGCCTTCAGTGAAGTGAGCCCTCACTCTACACTGTAATTCAGACTGACTTTGCAAACAACTTAAGTGTGAAATTTCACAGAGCCTCTGAAGAAAGCCTTTTGACACATTAAAACAGATTAGGAGAGACTATACAGGCCTTAGGGGGCCGGAGTAAAACTGTTAACTTTGCATTTCAAACCACAAGGGTGGGGGGATTTTTTAAGCAAGCTTGGGGAAAACCCCTTAAGAGGAAGAAGTTCTGCATCTTTTCAGAGTCATCTCAGACCTTGGATATTCTTCACTCAACTTGATCCTGAATACAAAGCGGATCCTCTCCACTGTTAGCTCCACTGTCCAATGGCATCGCTCTATTTCAGCAGCTTGCACTCTGAGCGTAGGAGAATTCACAGTCAACACTAAAGCGTTCCCCAATCTTCCTCCATTTTTAGTTTTAGTCACCTCCTGTCTGCACAATCAGGCACAATAGTCACATTTAACAATCCATCAGCCTAGTGCAATTGAGGGTATCAATTTGCTTCCTAAAATAGTTGGAGATAAGGCACATTAAATATGATTAAGCAATGTCTCTGAGGCACATGGCGAGACCTCTAGCTGTTTCAACTATCTCTCCATTTGCAGATAAAGTGTGTTATACACACACTGTCTATCTTATATCGGCTTCTTTTTTTGGCTGCTTAAAGTGATAGCTGCATGACGACCCCCGTCTCTACAAGGGAATATTCCAACACTGTTTCATCAACAACATATACTGTATTAAAGCTATGGTTTACTTTATTACATTATAATTAGAAAAACTGCCACATTGACTGGTTTTATTAATCTCAAATAAATATATAGGATGTTTACTTTTCTTAAGCTTATTCAATATTTTTTTTAACATTTCGAAATTGGATTGCAGCGCACAACAAACACTAACACATTACAACAAAACAATTAAAGAGACATTTTAGGAAGGTGTATTTCGTAGGGCTGTTAGCATTATTGTGAATTGTTAAGTACATTTGACAGCATGCACAACTACAGTATCTGCAGATGCATTCCCATCCATCTGTGTGAATGTCCATTATTCATTTGTGCAAAAGATAAAGAAATTGGAAATGCTGGATATTTGAAAAGGTTAAATATAGTTTTCCATTCTATCACTTTACAATGGCTCATTGTTTTTTTGTTTGTGATGCACTATACAGAAAATGAATACACACTTATAATACAGAGTGAGATATGAATACACAGGCACTCTTTTCAGTTTTACCACCAACCATAAACACCATCAAGTTGAACATTAGGTCCATGTTTTGAAATGTATATTGTTATGTAATCTGCAAAAAACTGGGTTTCAGTAAAAAAGTATGTAATATTCCTAGTATGATGTAACAACATCATATAAAGTAGGGCGTGTTACTCACTGATGCAACTAAAACGATTTTTTTTCTGGGCTTCTGGGTGGAGAAGAGAAAAAGTCCCCGGGAGTCACCGATGGTGGCGTTTCCGCAGGGCTATTTCAACAGAAGAGGGAAATGTGTGTTTTGTGGCTCTCACACAGCACAAACTAATAGTTGCATTCACTTCCTGCAGTTCTACAGGCCGTCTCTCTCAGCACTGACTCACCCCTGTAATGAGCTCTTTTTCATGCACTTGTTGTGACCCGTTGTGCTCCAGGAGGTGAAATACTGCACAGCAGAAAATGTCCATCGCTTACAGTGTGTCGATATGATCAATCCCAGAGACTGGAAACTCTAACTGTTCTCTCTGAGGCTATCTGTGTGTGTGTGTGTGTGTGTGTGTGTGTGTGTGTGTGTGTGTGTGTGTGTGTGTGTGTGTGTGTGTGTGTGTGTGTGTGTGTGTGTGTGTGTGTGTGTGTGTGTGTGTGTGTGTGTGTGTGTGTGTGTGTGTGTGTGTGTGTGTGCAATGACAGCTTATGATGCTAAGCCTTTTAGCATTGTTGCTAGGCCTTCATGGTGTACAGAGGCAGGTTATATGGACTGTCACAGCTTCTTGGCTCACACTACATTTGTCATTGGTTCACCCTGTTAATAAGAGACAAAGGGGTGATACTGTGCGGTTTATTTGACTAACAAACATTGACGGAACACACTGAGCGCCCGCAGGCGTGCTTCTCTCCACAGTTGGTTGCCCCTGTCAAAACTCAGAACCTGCTGCCAGATTGACCTTAAGGTCAACGGGTGCCAACGGCTCTGTAGCAATATTTATGCTTTCATGCATCAACAATGCAATCAAAGAGAAAATCAGCGTAATAAACAAACAGAAAGGAAAAGTTAAACGCCACTGAGCCCTGTCATCACAGAGCTGGAGTGTCAACTTGACGCAGTCCTGGCAGCTCCAGGATATAAGCTGCAGCAACACACACTCGTGGCGTCAGAGCCCTGAAGAGTTCAAATATCCATTGCAAAAAATAGCTGCCTTCGGCTTTGACCTTTTATGAGGAATACAAGAGGCTGGTTAGCATACCACTGCCATGCCTGGGACAGCAGCAGGAGCCATGGTTCCTCAGCTGACTGTCAATATGGAAGAGAAATCTACTTTTTAAACACTGACCTTTGTGTGCACTGGAAATCAAATGACAAAGCAGCAGTGATAACTTGAATGTGCATTATAACATGTGTTTTGTCTTAAAGGTGGGGTAGGTAATTCACTTCAGAAACGCTT